GCAAGGCTGGTCTCTGGTCTATTCTCCCTGTAAGAACAAGTGATTTAGGGTAAAAACCTGAAAGTCTCCTGAGGCATTTTAAGATATAGAATCTCTAAAAATATAGTATTAGATGCAGATATCTGGACTACATTAAATCATTCATCCATTATGTATTTCACACTCTTAATGTGCCAGGCTCTGTGCTGGGGATATAGCAACAGGCTCTCTGCTGTAAGAGCTCCAGGTGTCACAGGCTGACACCCTAAAAGGTAAAGTGACATCACAGGAAGAACCTACAGTGACATGAGGACTTTCAAAGAAGAAGCACAGGTGCTCTGGGAAAGGGCTTGAGGAGCAGAGCTGACCTAGGCTGAGGTATCAAGGAATGCTTCCGGGTGGAAATCACAAAGGCTGAGCGGGGCTTATCTGGGGGAGGAAGGGAGAAAGATGTTCAGGTATGGAGAACAGAGCATACAAAGGCCCAGCAGCCAGAATGAGTGCAGTGTTTGAGGAATGAAAGGACCCTAGTGTGGTTGGAGAGGAGACAGAGAGGAGATGGTGGAGCCGGCAGCAGGGGAGACCTCCTAAGTCACTTTAAGAGGTTTGCACTTTTATTTTGAGGGCAACGGAGGGGGGAGGGGAATTAAACTTGTCACAAGTGGACCGGATTATACTCACACTGATGTATTACTCTTTCCTGTTTTGCTGGGGATCAGGAGCTGGTAGCATCAAGGCAGAGGATAGATTCAAAAGGGAGTTGGATCTGTGTCAAGAGAAACATCATCCGCTTCACAGTTTTGCTTAAACTCACTGCTGTTGAGTCGATTCTGATTCATAGTGACCCTGTAGGACAGAGCAGAACTGCCCCATAGGGTTTCCAAGGCTGTAAATCTTTTACGGAAGCAGACTGCCACATCTTTCTCCTGACAGTTTTTCTTAGGGGCCCCATATTCCTTAAGCCATGAACAGTAGACAAAAGTCCTGCATGGGTGTGTCTTCAGTTTTTCATGACTGTACCTGTGTTAGTTCCACATGCCTCTTAAGAGGTCCTACAAAATGGTGCTAGCAGGCTATATGGAGGTCATCAAAAACAGACAGACAAAACTTCTTCCCTCCTACTTTAAGGCATGCCTACCTGTTGAAGGAGGCAACAGACCCAATTCGATCATGTATCACTCAGTAGGTTTTCTATAACACATACAGTGGTGTAATGTTTCCGATGATGGTGATAGCTTGGGTAGTTGAAATCCTCAGATGAGTAGAACCATTTTTTAACAAGGTTATTTTTTTTGTTTTTTCACTGCCATAGTAAAATCTTTGCTTAGGCTGCTGTCTTTTGTACGAAGAGGATACTATTTGTCCTCACTTGAGGCCTTGGCCCTGCATTATGTTTTCTGTTGGCACTGCAGACCTGCAGACTGCTCCCCTTGAGTGCTCCGTGTTCTCCCACAAGCCTCCTTAGAACCAGGGAACCAGACAACTAAGGATGTAGTTGGAAAAAGTTGATGAATTTATATTTCATCGTCCTTCTCCACTTCTTCAGCTGGAGGTGTGAACAAATAATGAAACTGATAAAAGAGAAAGGCAGCCTGAAAGAAGGAAGCCACACAACTGGCCCTTGAAAATGCCAAATCCAGATCGTTAGCCGTGAATCTGAGTCGGAGGTGCTGAATATTC